AGTTTAGAAAGCACAAGTAATATCTTCTAGAAATAACTATGGATATTATTCAAGAAATTAATTACACTGAATATGCACTTGTCATTATAATGATTAATTAATAAAGGAACAATACATTCTGCCCTTGCTCCCATAAAGGTTACAGAAAATGGGAAGATTCAAAGCTTTTTGAATTGTGGATTTTTCACAGTAATATAAAGGAAAGTCTCTTAGCAAATTTAGACTTCTTCAAATTTTTGCCCCCTAAACAGACCTGAGGAAGCCTGGTTGTATAGTGGTTACAGTTGGACTGTGAACCACAAGGTCGGAAGTTTGAAACCACCAGTAGCTCCACAGGAGAAAGACTCGGCTTTCTGCTCTCATAAACAGCTACAGTCTCAGACACCCACGGAGTGTTACTTGGGCCCAGAATTGACTCCATAGCAGAGATATATACAAACCAGAATTTTTTCTCCAAGCTATGTATTTAAATTTTTTTTACAAAACAACCTTATCACCTTCAAAGTACCCTCCATTACACTTAATACATTTGTCAAATCTGCTATTCCATTCTTGGAAACATTTTTCACACTCATCTGTTTGGATGGCTGACAGCACCTTCCTTGTTTTTTTCTTCACCTCTTCTACATCATCAAATAGCTGTCCTTTCATGTCCTTCTGCATTTGTGGAAACAAAAAGAAGTACATGGGGCGAGGCCAGGTGACCAAGGTGCGTGATGGGGCAAGAGAGGCATGCTGGTTTTTGCCCAAATCTGGTGCTCTGAGATGGCTGCATGCGTAGGTGCATTGCCATGGTGTCAAAACAAGTCTCTTGTCTGCCACAAATCCGGCCTTTTTGGTTGCACACTGTTATGCTATCTTTTAAGAACCTCTAAATAGAAAGCTTGATTAACAGTCTGACCTGGCTGAATGAATTCCAAACCACTATAAGCCCACATTTTTGTCCATTTGGGAAGTTGACAGATGTCCAACATGAAATTTGTTATCAATTGACATTTCACCTTTTTTTGAAATGAGAAAACTACTCGTGCACTTGAGTTGTTTTTGTGTTTTTTTTCCCCATAGCACTGTCCTTATAAGCTGTGTTGAATACCACAACCGTTTCTGTGGCATTTTTCCTGAGCAGGAAGCAAAATTTCACAGCCGCATGCTATTCTCTTATATTGGCCATCACAAAAAAATGAGGTTTGAGAGAAACTGCTTTTATGAAAAAATTCACCGTGATCAGAGAGAAGCTTCCCAGTTGACGCCTTTGGGTGTATTAACTCAGAGTGAGTTGCTCAATGTTTGCCTGTGGGGGGAAAATGCATACTACAAAATTCTGCCCAGCATTTTTTTCTGGGTTTTTTTTTGTGACGGTACCGCCTATGGACTTTAATAAGGATCTAAATCATTTTACAAAAAAACACCATTCAAAGTACATAATATCTACAAGTGCTAAAAAAAGAGAATGTGCGTTAAGAGAAGATACTAGAGTCGTTTGGAAGGGTCAATAATACATTTATTCTTTTCAACTTTAACTGTACTTGAGTTCAATGTAAAACATAATAAAATACATTTTTAGTACCTCCTTTCAGTTGTGTAGAAATAAGATAATCAATAGACTTTACTTTGTGAAGTAAAAGGAAAGAATTTAGTGGTTATTATGAATTTATTAAAGTTTGATAAATATTTTGACCAGTATTTACCGTAATAACCCAAAGACCAATTTCCCTCTCTTCTTGGCTCTAGGCTGCTTTCAGCCTAGGAAACTCTGGGAAAATATATGTAATTCCAAGGTCACTCTGATTGCACTTTAGGGAAAAGAATCCGTAGTAATTTGAAGTACCGTATATATTCGAGTATAAGATGAGTTTTTCAGCACATTTTTAATTTAGAAGAAACATATTTATTTATTTATTCATCCATTCATTTATTTGATTCCTCTTTCCTTTATTATTTTTAAAATCATTTTATTGGGGGCTCGTACAACTCTTATCACAATCCATACATCCATCCATTGTGTGAAGCACTTTTGTACATTTGTTTCCCTCATCATTCTCAAAACATTTGCTTTCTTCTTGAGTCCTTGGTATCAGC